GCTAATAATCTTCTGGAAATGAAAGGACAATCATAGAGTTTTAGATCATAGGATGGTGTAAGGACTGGGTTCTTCTCATCGTTGACGTCCTTTCCTTGTCCAAGTCACGGAGGAAGAGAGGTTGGTTTGTGGTCCCAAGAGCTTGTATCCTTCCCTTTCTATCTCTTCCACTTCATCCAGGAAACATTTGTGGATGGACATGTCGTTATTAAGATCATTGCCTTTCGGTTTACCATCCCATTTATTGCTTGAATGTCTATCTTCGTTGTCTTCCATTTACAATATTATCTGAGAAGTATAGAAATGCTTCTGGGTGTGAGGTTGAAAAAATTGGCGATGTAAAGAAAATCACGATGGTTGGAACAGAAAGTTAATCATTACCAAGAATAGGTTCATAGTCTCTCATCTGCTGGTTGCATTCTCATGTACTTGTTCACTTTGCAACCTTTCTACTTGTTTATCTATCTTCCCAATCTCTCTTTCTCTCTCTCGCATTGTAAACGTTGGAGGCATCTGGATGGGAGAAAAAAACCCGGGGGGTAATAACAAATATGAAGAAGAGGAACTGGCTAACACTCCTTCTGCTCTCCCGTCCTTCGCGGCTATCAGGATTAGTAGTAAGAATTACGAAAAAAGCCTATGAAGAAACATAATAGATACATAAATAAATAAATAAATCAATAGGCAAATAACAGAACCAAGAACATGAAAGTAATAAAGAATGTTAATACATGAAACGGTTTATTGGGAGACAAATTATTCTTGTCCATCAAGAACCCTCTCCAACACAGTGAAAAACCTAGAGTGGACAATGATGGATATGATAGAAAACGCAATAAGATAATAAAACGCAGTAAGCTATGAGACTACAACGATTCTGTAATTATTGCCTTTAAATTCACCCCGTGACCACTTCATCCCATTTACACAAATATATTGGAGAAGATATCAGTGCATGATGAAGAATAAACACAAATTATAACCATAGATAGTTTGCTTGACTCTGAAGAGGCTGTTGCTCTTTACTCATGGAGTTTATTTATTTGTATCTTCTTTCTGCCTTTGTTCTCTTAGAATTTCCTTGAAAAATCTCTCACTCACTTCCTATTTTATCCTTAGACATGTGCAATATTCTTGAGTTTTAGGTGAGAATGAAAAGGATATTAATAGTTCAAAGTTGCTGGAGAAGGACGGAACACTATTTACAAAAGGCGATTTTTTTTTACTAGAATTTCATGAGTAATGTTAACTAATTTGTATCGATTGGGGTTTATTTCTCACCTTCTCTTTTTAAGGGGTTTCCTTTTGCCTCCCCAGCTAAGACTTGTCAAATCCTACTGAATCAATCTTCATTAATAAAATCATGTTCATCGCTAGAAGTGACCGAAGGAAGTTAATAGTTTTCTCATCAGAATATTGCCTGTCCAAATAGAGTGATGAATGAAGAGACGCTTAACTGTTATTATTGCTTAAGTGACGTCTCACGGACAGGCTACGTCTCCAGACCCTTTTTTATATCTCTGTGATTGTTCTTTCCTTTTATGTTTATTTGACCAGCATTTGTTTACTATTTACTTCTTCCTCACTGACATTCGATCTTCTCTAACTCTGTTATCTGATACTGTGGCTTTAATCGTTTGATTAACATTTTCCTCTTTCCATTTCCATGCTCTATCTTGGTGAGCTAGCAAACGTTTAATTTAGAAAAAATATGGAAGTGATAGATAGGAGGACATCATTATTTGTTTCTATTAATACTACTTCACGAAGGTATACCGTGTGCTTTTATCACACTCTCTCACAACCAAAGAGAGGATGTTCATCTGCCCCTCACCCTTTTTTCTATTACTACAAACTAGCTGGTTCTTTTGCCAAGACATTCCTTTCTACTCTTAGGATTGCACCAAAAGAGTCCATGTGCAACAATGAGCCGTTCTGCTCTTGAAGGCGCGCGGCGGCACATTGTACGTAATCTTCCCTGCCACCCCCCCCTCCCCCTCACCCCCACCGTTGCTGGAGGCTGTGACAGCGAACGTCATCTTCCCCCCCCCCCCCGCCCCACCCCCTCCCCCTCATCACCCCACCCCGCACCGTTGCTGGAGCGTGGCTGTGACAGCGAACGTCATCTTCCCCCCCCCCCCCCCACCCCACCCCCTCCTCACCCCACCCCCGCCGTTGCTGGAGCGTGGCTGTGACAGCGAACGTCATCACCCCCCTCCCCCCAGCACCCTCAAGGAAAGTGATTAGATTTGCGGGTCGCAAATGATTGCCGAGGTCGCAGGTGATTAGCAGGTCGCAAGTGATTACATGGGCAGGTCGCAAGTGATTGGGCAGCCGGCCAAGCACATCCTGCTTCACGTGGCTGGCACTTTGTGGCTGCGAAACTCCAGCGAACCAGCATCACAAGTGAAGCATCCATATGTATATCTACACACACACACATATATATATATGTCTCACACAAGCAGCGGCCTGTGTGGGCACGTACTTTGTTGCCCAGTAGTATATGGAAGCCTGCCTAATTTGCTTTCTGTGGAATGTTGAGCCAACTCCAAGATGCCAAGCTAATCATGCCAGCATTCCCTCATGTAGGGGCGCTCCAGCAATATCCCCCCACTTCCCGTTCCTGAGGTCTGCCCTGTGGAAAGCCAGCGTGGCTGGGCATGTGGGTGTGGTGGAACTGCTGCTGGAGGCGCGTCCAGCCACGAATCCAACTGTGAGGCCGCGGTTTGTGTTCCACTTCCGAACGAATGCATGTTTCCCACACCTTGTCAAGTTGCTTGGAGTCGAATGTCCGCTCAGCCCTTGTGTCAAAGGCCTCCGCCAACCCTGAACTGACTGATGATGACGGCGTGACGCCGCTGTTTGCGGCATGCCAGAATGGGCACCTGGGAGTGGTGCGCTGCCTGCTGGATGCCAAGGTTGACAGCAACCAGGCGGACCACCACAGGCGCACCCCGCTGTCCGTGGCGGTGCCCAGCTGGCCGGCCATCGTGCGGTGCCTGTTGGAGGCCGGCGCCGACCAGGACAAGGCCACGGAGGACGGGCGCACGCCGCTCTTCGTGGCGGCGGAGAGCAACCACCCGGCCGTGGCGCTGATGCTGCTGGAGGCCGGCGCAGACAAAGACCGAGCCACGGAGGACGGGCGCTCGCCTTTGTACATCGCCGCCTATGACGGCAACCTGACAGTGGTGCAGCATTTGCTCAAGGCCAAGGCCAACACTGATAGGGCCACCGAGGACGGCCGGACGCCCTTAATCATTGCAGCTGGAAAGGGCTACATCGACATTGTGGCCGCATTGCTGGAGGCCTCCGCCGATGCGAACAAGGCTGACAGGTATCGACACACTGCTTTGTTCAGCGCCTCAATGAACGGCAACTTGGCAGTGGTCCAGCGCTTGCTGCAAGCTGGCGCTGCGGGCAGCACTTTGCAAGGGGAAGGCAATCCTCTCATCGTCGCGGCTGAAAACGGTCACTTCGATGTGGTGCGCTGTTTGCTGGATGCTGGATTCAACGAGCTCACGCTGGCTCGGTACTTACTTGAAGCTGCAGATGCGGACGAGCTGGATCCTTTGTTCCAAACGCCGTTGGTGTCGGCAGCGCACATTGGCCACCTTGGCCTGGTGACGCTGCTGCTCCAAGCAGGATCTGAGAGGCACTGCAAAGCTGTGGTTGGCTCTCCATATTTTGCTGTTTTGCAGTCTTTCCGTATTTGCTCAAGCTTTTGCCCCTGGCAGGGACAAGGCAGACCAGTTTGGACGCAGCCCTCTCTTCATTGCGGCAGGCAATGGTCATGTCCAACTCGTGCGCTCGTTGTTGCAGGCGCAGGCAGACACGAATCGGACTGATCGGTACAACCAGACCCCGCTAGTCAGTGCAGTTCACTTCGGCTGCGAAGAAGTGGTTCGATGCTTGCTGGAGGCAGGCGCCGACAGGAACAAGGCGCGGGCCTCGCTTGTAGCGCTGTGCACAACGTGTTATATATATATATATATATATGTATATATATATATATATATATGACTGTATGAGCCACAAACAAGATAAACATACTAAAAGAAGCCAAAACAAGCCAAAGCAAGCCAGAAACGGTTGTTTATGGCTTAGTTTGGGTTAGTTAGGGCTATTTTGGTTCATTATCACCTTGGTAACTTCAACATACAACATGTTCTCATCCAGGCTGACCAGCACGGGCATTCGCCCCTCTTCATTGCTGCGGGCAAGGGATACCTCAGCGTGGTGCGGTGTTTGCTGGAGGCGTCTGCCGACAAAGACCAGGCCGACGGCTCCGGGCAGACTCCTCTTTTCATCGCCTGCGACCTGGGCTTCCCGGAGATCGTCCAGTTGCTGCTGCAGGCCAACGCCGCCCCTCGGCAAAAACGATCGTGACCCGTGTATATGCCCCAAATCGCAAGGAGCGGGAGGAACGGGCGAAAGGAACTGGATCCCGAAATTCGGACGGGACCGGATAGGACCGGATAGGACCGGAAGGGACCGGAAGGGACCGGAAGGGACCGGATGGGACTGGAGCCGGTGGACCGGACCGGACCGGACCGGATTATTGTTACGAATGGTTTGGGCGTGCCAGGACAAGGATAAGGCCACCGCCACCGGCTGCACCCCGCTGCTCATCGCGGCCAAGCGCAGCCACCCGGAGGTGGTGCGCTGCCTGCTGGAGGCTGGTGCAGACGACACCAAGGCAGATCAGGATGGCGAGGCGCGATGAAAGGAGAGCAGCTTGTCCTAGAACCTAGATGCTGTTGCGCAAGCATGCTAACCCTGTCCAGGTGCCCATTGATGTGACCAACCATCGAGAAGTGGCTTGGTCTCTGATCGAATCGGCCGAGAAGAGGCGCCGCACCCTTGAGGCATCGCGCTGATTCAAAAGCCGCGTCTTGAGGACGTTTGGCCCCGTTTTGGGGCAGTTGCATCAGGTTTGAGGCATCAGGGTCTCAACTCAGGGCCCAGAATCTCCTTTGAATTGGAACAGAATCACCGAGGCAAGCCTCCGTCTCCGAGGTGGCAAATGCCTCCGAGACTGCCCCAGGACTCGATGTCGCCTGTCGTTTTGACTAGCCCTGCAGCTCACCCCGGGTGAAACCTCTAAAAGGAAGCCAACCACGAAGTCCTATGCCAGCTCCACTAGCTTGCAAGCCACTAATTCACACCTCCACGAGTGCTAAGCTGAGCACGCCAAGCTCGCCACAAGACCTGGCTGGAATCGCGACTCAAGACTCCATTTTGCGATGGGCCATGGACATTGGACTCATTGATAGAAAGGGCTCGCGTGCAGACTAGGAATATCATCATGCAGGTCCCAGTCGGTCGGCAAAAGACGTGCGATGTGTGCGAGCCGCTTGAAAAGCACAATGCGTTTCGTAGTGCAGCCCCAGGAGTGCTGATCCCGCAGAGTCTTCGCATGGATGGCTTGGGCCCCAACGCGGTGGGGCAAGTGACAGGGGTCCCGTGACTGCGAAATGCTCAAAGTCGCGGAAGGTTCCTGTGCTAAATGGCTTGCAGCGTCCTGCATAGCGGGTGTCAGAGCTGCTAAGAACTAGGAACGGGGTCTAAGATGGAGAGATTCAACAGAGAGGAGTCGCAGGGAGATGTCGCCGAATGTTTTGCCGGACACGGACGGTAAGGCCTGGAGGCCGCGCAGGCCCTGCAAGAGCAGCTCTCGCAGCTCTCTGAGCAGCCAGCCTTCGTGGAGCGTTTGGAGACGAAGCCGCAGGACCTCCCCGTCTTAGCCGCACCCTAAATCGACTCGGAATGGCAAAGACAGAAAGTCGCAAAGACGCACAAAGGCGGAGGGCAACTTGCCTTTTTTTCTCTTCTTCTTTTTTTCGGGCAACTTGCGGACTTGCGGCCGGCGAGATGCGTGGGACGATGCGTGCGATGCACGTCGGACGCTCTCCGAGGTGGTGGCCAGCGGAGGCCGCAACGAGCTTCTGGAGCGGTGCCTTCGGTCCCTGGCGGCGCTGCCGGGCACCGGCCTCAGGCCTGGCTTTGGGCTTCCAACGCTCATTTCTCCTTCAGATTCTCCTTTTTCTTTTCTTTTCTTTTTTTCTGAATCTTGATTTTGAGTGCTTTTTGTAATCTGACCTTCTGCTTTTGTCTCTCCTGTTCGGTGTCGTTTTTTTGGCGGAGGGCTGCAGATAGCTGGACCACCGGTGGTGCAGTGTTGTCGTCCTGAGGCTACCGCAGGGAGAGGGTCCTGGTCTCGCAGGACGGCATGCTGCGGCCTCCATGCACTCGATCAATCCTTGTGGAAGAGATGCAACTGGCGGAATCCACAGGATGGTCCAGATTCACGGGCTCAGTGGGCTTCCGTCTCAGTTCGCAGCATTGTGGCAAACCTCCGAACGCCATTCTCAGGTGGCCCAAGATTTGTTCAAGGTGTCCTGGGCCTTGCGCTCAGAGGGCATTGCCCAGTTGCCAGACTCAGTTTCAGCAAGGGGACTCGGGCAAGAAACACATCGATCTTGCTCTGGCCAACGCGTTGCACGTTCGGCCTGGAGTTTACACCTCGTGTGCACTTGCTGTGCGAAAGAGAGTGTCAAGAAAGGGGAACCTTCAGTTGGTGGTTCTCCTGGTTTCCCCCAAAAAGGGCATGGCAATTCTAGGATCTTCCTACAGCGTTCATTGTGAAGATAGGTCACGGCTGCCCCAGAACATGACCAATCATACCGATGAGAAAAGCCCAATGTGAACCGATGTTTTGCCCAATGCCATCGTTTGCGCAATGGTGGGCAACCAACGAGCTATAACATTGGTGTGGTTTGCGGAAGGCTGAGACTTCCTCAAAAGAACTTGCATCGTCTCTGAGAGCAGTCAGCGTCTTTCAACCATGCATGCCTTCAAGCTGCGGGAAATTGAGCACGCGCTTCGGCTGAAAGCTCAACGCCACATTTTGCATTGTTGAACACTTTTGCGAGCACGTTTTTTTTGGGACGATCTGTGAAGGCGGATATCTAGAGGGATGCGGTTGGATACTTTGAGTCTCTAGGACTAGGGGTTGCCTTCGTGCAGGTTCTGCACGACCAAGAAAGCGTGGCGGGCTTCGATGCAAGGGTCTCTGAGCAGGGGCCCCATGCTCACTGAAGGCCGCAAGCTCCGCTTTGAGCCTGTCTCAGGCACCACAGGGAAGCAATCACCTATGCGCTGCACAAGCAATTTCCAGAAGCTCGCTCCTTGGTGGTGGTGGCAGCCCCAGCTTTCCCATGCTTATGGCTTCGCTGGCCTTACGTCTCGGCTCCTAGGCTTTCGGCGCTTGCATTTCTTTTGTGTTTTCGTTGCGGTGAGCAAGGTGGAGGAGGACATGGAAGCGTCCAACGCCGGTCCCTGAAGCTGGGAAATTGGGGGCACAGCTTGGGGCCATGTGATCCTTTGGCGCTGCAAAGTGACGAAGATTTTGCAGATTCGAACCACTGGGATGAAGCCAATTTGGACTGCGATGGGCCGCTGGCCCGATTAGGACATGCTCTGGTACTTTGCACAGCTCGAGCCCCTCCTCCACAAGGACGGTGTTGTGCCAGAGGAAAGGCATCTTTCTTACTTTGATAAGGTCAATTTGGGCGCTTGTAGGATGCCACTCTCTGGTGCGTGGGTGCCTGGAATGAGAATGGGGTTGCGCCCTATGCTGCAGACCTTTCCGGACTTCTGCGCCAGGGTCTTACTTGCAGAAAAGAAGTGCGTCGGCTGTGCCGAATGCTGGCACTGCCGGAGAGCTGAGGCAGCGATGTCTTCGCAGGAAGCCTCGCCTGGATGCTGCCCGCGGAGTGGGGGCCGTTCGACTGGACGTCTGTGGGGAGTTTTGCCACGCGCTACGAGGCTCTTCCGCCGGGAGCTGCTTCCGCGATGGCCCTCCACCGACTGGGCCGCGGCCTTCCAACGGGTTGCGGGACGGGCGGTTTCTCGGAAAAAGTGGCGGTGCCAGGCCCAGCACTTGCGCAGCCGCGTCATGGCTGCCGGCCTGGTGCCTGGTACTTCTGCGGGATGGCATGACCGAATCGTCGGTAAAGCTTGTGGTTCCTGGGAAATCAACGCACATACACGTGTGGACAACAGGGCGACGGAGTAGAAGACAAACATACTTTGTTTTATTCTTCAGAAGTTGCCACAAAAAGCGATCAAATGGCAACAGCCCACAAGAGAGGCAACGTCAGAAGGATAGCAAACGCTGCCGCAGCAGCAGCAGCAGCAGCAGCAGCCACCGCCGGCGGCACTGCCAACGTCACCAGCAACACGCTGGCACCTCCACTGACGCTAGCGCTACCGCCGTCTCTCATATTGATTACCGCTGCCCGTTGCGTGTTTATATAACGAGACGCTAACATGCAACTGATGCGAACAACAGGACTGCAACACAGGCACTGCCACTAATAGAACGCATGAGCAGGAGTAGGAGGAGTTGCAATTGCATTTCTTCGCGGTGGGACGTCAAGCTGTTTTCTTTCTTCTTCGGTTTGAGCCGCAGCCTCACCAAACCACTGACCGAAACAACAACTGTCAATTGAACATTATGGGTAGTCCGGCAACCCAGCCGCTGGCTGACAACAACAGCGCAAAACTGTTGATATGCTAAGGTCGCCAATGTATCGTGTGCGACTCAGCAGATCTCGGCTGTGATTCTTACTTTGGTGCTTGCGCAAATCCGGGCCAGCCGTCGTCCTGCTCCTTGTGGACCTGTCCAGGTTCCGGAGGTGAGCCGTGTCCGCCACCTGGGCCGCGACACCCGCAAGGCCAAACCCTTGGCGTGTTCCCTCGCTCTAAACACTCTAAACCGCTTTTTTTTTCAGACAAAGGGGAAAACCCCAGCTTTTGCATTTCAGGATTCCGCAGGAGCGCCGGAGGCAGCCGCCGTGCAGGCGAGCTTCAGAAATCGGAACTCCCATTAGAAAGTCGAATTCATTGAGCTTATTGAGCTGTCCAGGATGCTCGGTTGCTCTTTGCCACGGGGTCTGCAGATTTCAGCGCTGCGGTGGCTGGCGCAGGGTTAGAGGTGGGCACTTGCACTCACCTGTTGGCAGATGGGCAAACTGCCGGTGTTGGACTTCTTTTGCCATGGGCAAAAAACCCAAGGTGACTTTGCTCTCACTTGGACCAAGCCGCGGGACATGCGTCTTGCATCTCCCGTGCAGGAGTACCGCGCTGCAATGCGCGCAGCGGTTCTTTCGGCAACCGTCCTGCAGGAGACCAGTTTTCTGTCCATGCCATGAAAGCCGGGGATTGCACTGCGCAGGACCTGGCACACCTCCCAACCATGGTGGTAGGCGTGCCCTCCAACGCCCATGTTGCTTCCACATGGCAGATAGCCGCACTCCAGTTTGCGGGTGGCAAGCCTGGCATGCGCAATGGAAGCCGCTCTGGCTCAAGCCAGACACGTCTAAAGCGGGCACGTAGGCTGTTGGGCCGCGCGCGCCATGAAGTTCGCGAAGAAGCTGCAGGAGGAGCTGGAGCAGGCCTGGGACGGCCAGTGGCTTGGCGTCACGAGCTTGGCGAGACGCAAGCTACGTTTGTTTTTTGCCTGGCACTTCACATGTCGAAGTTCCGAGGTACTTAGATTACAAGGCCCTCAAGAAGGTCATGAAAGTGAGTGATCAAGACCAGGCTGGGACCAGGCTTGGTGCAGCTGAAGCTTCTGAGTCTTCCATGCAAACAGCGAGGTGATGCAATCCTTTTGCGATGCTTTGGACACAGAGCTGAATAAGGCCAGCAGCATAGACACTTTGGTGCTTGAAGTTGAGTGCCCTGCTCATCAATCCTTTCCATTGATTAGACAGAGCGGGAAGCTTTCTGTTTGTCTGAGAGCCGTCACTCGTACCATTTTCCGTGATATATAGGGCAGAATATGTTGACCTTGCCACGCAAATACAGTGGCCACTGCTGTTGGATGTCTCGAACTAAATATGAGCTTCAGCTGTGGGATTCCCAACCCAATGACCACTTTGCCAGTCGCAGACAGTGAGGTTCGCGTTTACATGCGACACCAGCAAGAAGAACTGCAGGAGGGGCAAACTGCATCATGCTGATTGTATCAAGCAAGGGCCATGCCATGCATGGTGAGAGGTGCAGAGTCACCCAGCATGTTGCATGTTTGCTTTCTCATGTGGGAGTAGTAGCTTGTCCTTGTCCTTCTTTGCCAGGGTTGATTAAAGTCGCAAAGTACCAGGTAGCCCGCATCCTGAACCTTAACTCAACGCAGGGATCTACTGGATCTTTTTGCCAATTGGCAAGAAAGCAATGCTGACAAGGAGCAGCTGCTGCATCTTTGCGTGCGTGCGCGCGCCCACGCTCGCACGCACCAGCGCACGCCACTCACAAGGACAGAGACCAGAACTTGTGCTTCAGGAAGTCGACCTTGACGAGCTCCACGGGCCCGTCGCAGGTCACGCCGTTCCTCACTTCGGAATGGCTGGCACAACGCTTCGAGATGCTCGACCGTTTCTTTGATTTCGAGCCCGAGACTGGTGGAGTGGCCATGCTCCCGCAAGACTTTCCACATCTTTGGGAGGCCAGTCGCTGGCGTGGAGCCACTTGTGCGCCGTCCTGGGCGTCATGTTCAACATAGCATCCTTACAGCTCGGGGATTGTCTCGCACAAGCCTTCACGCGTCCATCTGACCCAGCTCATCGAAGCAGTCCTCATGCACAATGAGCTGAGCTGTGCCGCCGGCATCGTCAGCAAGTTCGGCTTCCTCTGCTGTACTCTCTTTGGCAAGGTAGGGCGATCCTGCACAGGCTCACTGCGTTTCCGCCAGCACCAAGCACATCAGGACCAATTATTCCAAGCTTGGAGATATCGTTACGCCTGATGAAGCTGTTCTTGCAGTATTTAGCAGGGAAGTGTGCTTGCGTGCCCAGTAGTGATTCTGTACTCTGATGCCTCGGATGTGCCAGAACGGTCTCCTTGGCATGTTGCGGCAGTGCTGCATGACCCTCTTGATGGAGCGCTGTTCGTCTCAGCTGCGCCGATGCCGCAAGCCACAGTCGGCGCCTGGATTCCAATGTAATCCTACATGGGTCAGCTCGATCTGTTGGGTTCGCACCTATGCACGTATGCGCACATGTGCGCTTGCACTGACGCGTGCGCTCGGACGCCACACACACATACAGACAGGCGCGCGTGCGCATGGACATGCGCACACGTGCGCGCGTGCGCAAACAGACCAACACAGAGACGCAGAAGCACACAATCGCACAAACGCACAAGCACATACTGTTACGCATACCAGGAAGCACAGACACAACCACAGAAACGCACACACACACACACACTCACCACGAACGCACTTGTTGCAATGATAAAGCGCACAAGCGCACCAACGTAAGCACACAAGCGCACAACAAGAACTCCAAACATACGAAGCAAGCAAACACATAGACACGCTCTTTTATAAACATACGAAGCAAGCAGAATAGGATACGATGACACAAACGCACAAGCGCACCGTCACGCAATCACATATACAGGCATGAAAACACACATGCGCAAATACACGCATTCACATACACGTGCGCACATGCGCACATACACATGCCCACGCACATCTAGATCCACATGTATACACGTGCACATATACATATACATACATGTGAGCCCTCTTGTGTATGTGTATATACATATATACACGCATACACATGCATTTTCACCTACATGCATACACACACAGACACACACACACAAACACACAGACACACAGAAACACACACCCGCAGACACACACAGACACACACACAAACACACACACACAGACACACACACAGACACACACAGACACACACACACAAACACACACACACACAGACACACACACACACACAGACACACACACACACACACAGACACACACGCACACACACAGACACACACGCACACAGACACGCGCACACACACAGAGACACAGACAGACACACAGACACAAACACAGCACACACACAGACACACACACACACACAAACACACACACAGACACACAGACACACACAGACACACACAAACACACACACAGACACACACACACACACAGACACACAGACGCACAGAGACACACACAGACACACACAGACACACACAGACACACACACACAGACACACACTTGAACTCCAGATGGAGAGTGCTAATCTTTCGAGTACAACTGATGAGTCTCGAGTACACCTGATGAGTCTCGACTGGGTTCTGCTCGCGATGCACTCGGCTTCCCTCTAGCAGCGAACACGTTACCCGAAAGAACAAGAAGCACAAACAGCGCCGCAACCAAGGGGGCCAAAAGGACTTTCAGAATCACGGCATCACGGAAATGCAGGTACGCCGGAGTGGCCAACTCCGGTATCCCGTCTTGCTGCCTAGCTTTGTTAGACCAGGTCAGCAGCAAGACGCCTGGTCCCCCTGCTGAGAAACCGAAAGGGTGGTGACAGGGCATTCTGTCACTCCGCACACACACGCCCCTCAATGAGGGGCGAGGAGTCTCCTTTTCCGCAGGAAGATCACATGCTCAACCCCGTGTCCCTATCGTTGACCAAAAAATCCACCGCGGCGAGGGGAACGAGAAACAGCCCTAAACCGCTCAGAAGACGGGAACGAGAGATCACCACGTTGAGCATTGCGAGTGTCGCCATAGAGGACTGAAGCGAGTTGTGAAGCAGTCGAGCGATCACCATGAGAAAACGGAGTAGCATAGGCGAACGTCTCCTCAACTGGAATGGCATCGGAATTCCGAACTTCACCAAGAGATTGATCATGCGAATGATGAGTGGTGAAGGACTCCATTCGAGACAGAATGCGCTGGTATCCCTGATGCTGCCAGTCGCGGATGGTCCATGCCTGACCGTGCTCACCAGTGCGCCCATTGGGATCAGTCACCCGCTGCCATTCCCGAAAAGAATTGTCTGGTAGATCAGGTACAGTTTCTCCGTGGTGCCATCGCTGAGGCTGTCCTGCAGTGTAGATCCGCACCCACTCCTGATCCTGCCAGACCGAGTATTCGAGCCATGGTTGCTGCTTCGAATCCTCGATGTCCATGTCGAAGTAAGAGGCAAGGCGTATCGCGGGCTCAGATCCAGCTGATAGAGGAACAGGCACCATGCACAACCATGTACAAGCAACAACCAAGCAAGGTAATGCAAGTGTGAAAACCACCCTTATTTTGTACGCTACCCCACTCGCGTGCGTCTAGTCCTCATTTAGCTCGAAGATAGGTCTCGCCTTGGCTTTGCAGCTGTCGGAAGGGTTAACAGGCCGGTATGGTTCGGAGACCCCAACCGTCTCCGATGGTGTGATTCCACGTGATGCACGAACAGGTTGATGAAGTTGGGAAGCGTGACGTGCGCGAGCTGTCAGTTGTTGAGAAACCCCCTCTTGGAGACGAGTCAGTTCTTCGGTAGAGAAATCCGCCGCATCCGAGGATCTAAGGATCGCTTCTAACATCTGCGGTGACATACTCAATGCCGCGGATTGCGTGGCCACGCTGTGATGATCAGGAAAAGACATAGAATCAAAGTCATGACCAGCTTGAGGGGCAGCGACTCTCCGATAGCCCTCTGTGGCCCAGTCTCTTTTGTACCACATGGTGACATTGAGCTGCTCACCGTCTTGGTCCGGGTTGGGAGCATAGAGCTCCTTCCATTCTCTATACGTGTGCGGTGGAGGTGGAGCATCATGTTCTTCATGTGGAGTCCATGATCCCGGATGAAAGATCTTGAATCACTGGGCATCTGGTTGTTGAGGATCCGGACACCATTCCAGCCACGGCGTGACAACGCAAACCCGGAAAGACAAATTGATAGGTGTACGGCTGCAGACAACAATTACTGCAAGAGACACAACAACAACCACGCAAGCAATCACTTTTGCAGCAATGCACGGCTCAGGTGTTGAAGTCCATCTCCTGAATCGAATTGAATTGAATAGACTCCCCAGGAAGACGAGGACGAGCATCAGCCACCATCTGAGTTGGAAGATGCCGACGAAGAGGTCAGTCCAGCGTACATGAGGTCCGGTGAGCCCGAAGCGAAAACTGGACGCGCAATGCTAGGATGTGGACGACCCAGCCGTTGATATCCTCTGGTGGCCCAGTCCCGATAATGCCAAGTATAGAAGGATGCATAAGAGACCGGCTGAGAAACAGCACCCATATTGGTGCCGCCCGTGCTCTCCCTCGGCCAATACACTTCGAAGTGGTATACTTTGCGCCACTCCCGATAGGTGGTTGAGTCCTCCGGGGCAGGCCCCAGGGTGTTTTCGGCGACTGGATGCCACGGACCCGGTACATAG